GTAATTTATCCCTTTATACCCCCTTGGACAAATTCCATTCAAATAATTTAAATTTGGTTTCAAATATAGAATTTGTTCAAGCTTTTTAAAAAAACAAATGAATACCTTCAAAACTAGAATTGAGTAGTTAATAAATAATCACCAAAATCGCTTTGAAAATACCAAAGAACAGTAATTTGCTTGTATTCCGACCATCACATCACCAGCCGAAGATACAAGTGCTCTCAGATCTCCAAATTTTGAGAAGTACTTTGTCCCAAAAGAAACTTGAAAATCCTCCTTTTCGTTTTGGCGTTTCTTCATTTTGACATCCGTCATTATCTCAAGATTTTTGAGAGGTGAAAAAAGTGAGCAGATGCCGAACGAGGCGAAATTTGAGCCGCTTTTTGTGAGAAATTTTACTGTGTTTTTCACGCAAAAAAACACAATTAACGTTTTAATTGAAAAAAATATAACAAACGTATAAAACGACACTCGAGGAAAGTTGTTAAGTAGTGGGTGATATGTCACGAAGGCGTTACAATAAACTTTTTGATACAACCCAAGTGTATTGAACGTGATTTTCATAGGTCTGGCATAAGTTACCCCATGCTCAACACCTATGGTATAATCTTTTTCTGTTACTTTACAACCAGTCCCAACTTCAACCTTTTGTAAACTGTTGATGATTTTAGAAGATGTTGTGACGTTGTTATAAGAAGATTTAAAATAAATGCCTTTCTTTTGGTTTGAATAGGTTGTTGTGATAACCAACGGAATCCTTTGTAAAATCAAAGAAATTTTAACACCCCGCCCAATGCAGTCGATCACACCTCCTATCTTTCCGACTTTTTCAATCTCGTGATATTTCGGGCATTTCATTTCGTCTTTAAACGTGGCGTATTTTTTTGAGCAAAATCGTGTTTCTCCTCCCCACATCGAATTTTTTCATTTTTGAATTCTTCCATTTTTTTGATATGTTCATGTATAGTTTCACAAACAATATTTAAACTAGACGTTCACCCCATAAAAGAAACTAATAACATTTTAAAATTTAATTACCAAGTGCTTTGATAATCTTTTCGACCTTTCCGTCATTGTCGATCACTTTTCCATTATTCACATTGACCTTTAAATCAACACCTGAAGTCTCTCCAATCCCCACAATGACACACACTGGATCTACAAACATGTCATTCACTCTATTCAACATCTTTTCGAGATCTTCTTTTTGTTTAGTGATCACGACGATTCCTTTCGGTTGAGTTGTGTCGAAATTTTCCAAAAGACTTTTTGCGCCATAGTTTTGAAGCCATTGCGAAACTATACTTTGTTCTTCACTTTCCTGACACGTGATATATAAAATGTCCGACACTTTTGACCTCGTTAAAAACAATTTTTCGTTAAATGGGATTTTTGCGTCTTCCTTTTCTTGTTCCGCCTTTTTTCGTTTGAATTCGACTTCGATGGAGTCGCGGTCCATCGTACACACCTTCGGACGGATTTGCGACGTCAGCGTCGACGTCCTTCGGAGTTTTTCGGGCTCATCGATGAGGGGCGGCTCCTTCTCGATTTCAAGAGTTTTTCGTGTTGTGTGGGGATCTTTCATAGTCTTTGCTGAAGACTTCTTTGGCCCGTGGAGGACTTTTCTCCGGGGCGATTCTTCAAGTAATTTACTCTCAGCTTTGATTGTTGTGTTTAACTCGACTTTCTTTCGCGAGAGGGAACTTCGCGGGTCTCTTGGGGAGTCGCCCGTCTCGGGCGGGGATGATCCGACACCCGAAGAATTTGAACGGGGGGTCGACGTGATACATTCCGATGACAACGAACTGTCGCGGAAGCTTTTCGACGTTGAGTTGAGTTGGGCGGAACTCTGAAGGTTTTGGATATTGAGTAGTTTAGAGTTCAGAAGTGTTACTTCTTCTGTTATTCGTTTGTCTAACGCAAACAATTGCGTTTCAATTGATGTGATACGTGCATCTAATATCTTTTGGACTAATTGAACTACGGCAGTTTGTGTCATAAACTGTTCGCCTTCGGAAGACGTGGAAGGGGAAATGGTCGTCATACTTAAAAACTGGAATTAGAGTTTTTTTGGTAATTTGATTGTTCAAACGTTATTGATGGAAAAACACAAAGTCTTATTTTAGATATCGGGTTGTATAACATTTCATTAAAATGATATATATAACATTTTTTTATTTTTTTATTTTTTTAAAATGTTATTGAGAGCAATTAAAATAAAATGGGGTTTTAGCTATTAATGGAAGTAGTTTCATTATTAATTTTTATATTATTGTTTTATAGAAATAAAAAAGGAATAAAATGAAATAAAAATGAAAAAATATGTGGAGGTGATGGCTATTTTATAGGAATACAGATTCGGATTTTATATAAAAAAAGAGTCTTGTATTGCCAAAAACATTTTTGTTTTCCGTCAAAACGGATTAACTCTAACACGTGATTTGACTAGAATGTTGGAAATGTTCAAAACAAAATTAACAAAAAAGTCAAAAAGTAAAACGTCAAATAATGGAGAAGTGATAAAAGTTATAATGGAAAAATAGTTTATTTATTGTATTTTTATTATAATATTATAGTTTTTTAAAATGGAAATGAACTCGAAATAATATGTCAATCTGGCAAATTGTGATGACAATCTGGGCAGAACAACATGGTATTTAGGCGCAGAAAAACTGAAAAAGTCAAATGGAAAAAATTGAGAATTTACTTAAGAAGTGCGGAACCTTCATGTTGGCCACTGTCGAAGGCGACAAACCAAAGCTGAGAGTACTTGGTGTTGTCGATCACTTTGAAGGAAAGCTCTTTTTCTACCTTGACCAAGAGAAAGACGCTTATCATGAGATTACAAAGAACGCTAACGTCGAGATTGTTGGATTGGCTGAAGATTGTAATCAAGTCCACGTAAGTGGAAAGGCTGTATTTGATTTCAGAGAAGAGGTTGCTCAGTATCTTAAAGACCACCACCTCTTTATTAACAAGAAGTATTCACAGGCTGGTGCTCCAAAATTGGCTCCATTTTATATTGAGGATATGCACGCCTTTGTTGTCAAGAAAGACGACACTGTCGAACATATCTTAAACTAAGACAATCATTGTTACTTATTTTGTTCACTTTACTGTTAAAATGTTATGGTATAGTTATTAATAACAATTCATATAACAATTCTATATTTTAAAAATAAAACAAAACTTTTTCACATTTTGATTTCATTCTATTTTTTTATTATTATTTAATATTAGTAAATAATAAGATTTATTAACTATTTGTATTTTTTTTAAAATAGATAATTACTTTAAATAAAAATCAAGATAAAGCAAAATCTAACTTTTTTTTTCTCAAATTATTATAAGTGTAAAAAACAAATAAAATAAACTATAACTTATAATAAAAAGTAATTTTGCTTAACAAAAATCACAATCTAATCTATAAAACTCAAAACTAAATTTACACATTTTATTTACTAGTAAATAAATAATTTCATTATAAAATATGCTTTATTAAAAAAACAGAAATGAATTTCAACTTTTTTTTATTTAAAGAAATAATCTAAAATGGCATTATTAGCCTCCAAAAACCACTTGTCTTCTTTTATTACAATTATATAAATGATATACTATATTGATAATAATATTATGGTATTATTATAGTAAAAAACAGTACCAAAAATGTGATAGACCAATCGAACGTGTTGCCGACGGAGAAAAAGAAAAATCATCTTGAAAATTGAACAATGAGCCATGAAGGAACAATGGTGATTAACGAGAGGTATGTAGTCCAGGACTATCTCGGCAAGGGAGGATTTTCCCGTGTCATGAAGTGCTTTGACAACCGCCTCTGCATCTCTTTGGCACTTAAAATGATAAATGACAAAGGCTTTGACGACAGACGAGAGATTGAGATTATGAAGATTGTATCGTCATCTCCCGACTCACGGGCACAGTTTGTTTCCTTTTTGATTTACTGTACTATAAAAGTTAATTAAATTTATTATAATTATTTTATTGATGATATTTTACTATATTTATAGTTATTCGAAACTATAAAATGTGGATTTACGATGGTGCGACGTAATGAGAAAACAACGTGAGAACAAAAGTGACGTGGATTATCGAAGGCTGAAAATTGATAAAAGTCGATGGTATAAATTTAACGAATTAATTGATTGTTTCCTCAATGACATATTGGTAATTATGAAAGAGTTGGAGAGTGGTGATTTTTAATTTTGAACGGGAATAAAGTGTTATAATATATTGCACTTTACGAGTGGCGAGACTATGTGGTGAGTGTCGAGTAGTGTAAAATTGGAGTAAGCTCCTTTGTTTTTACCACAGTATATTAGATTATTAGAACTTGTTTTTATTAGATAATTATAAGAGGAAAGTTCATAACTCATCTCAAGGGTTGCTATAAAGTATCTGGACTCGTTCCGCTACGATCACCGAGACTATGTGGTGATAGAACTCGCGGGTGTTAACCTCTACGACTTCTTATTCAACAACAGAGACATCCCGTTTTCTCTCTCGTTCATACGGTCTGTTGCAAAACAATTACTTCTATTCCTTTCTTTCTTGCATTCCAAGGGCATTATCCACTGCGACATAAAGCCTGAAAACATCATGTTGAAGAATGACGCTTATGATATAGTCACAATTTCAGATGACACTTGCGCCGACCCCGAGTCCGTATCTGTTTGTTCATTCCACACCTTTCGATCCTGCCTTCTCACTCATTAGTTTTTGATATACCATAATTATTATATAATGTATAGTTTTTAAACGTTGTATAGATAATTATAGTAAATTAAACTAATCAAATAGTACCAGCACACGCGAGTTCCCAAACATGAAGAAATCAAAGTCATTGATTTTGGCCTTGCGACGTTTTCCGACAACCGTTTACACTTTTCGACTGTTGGCACGCGTCCGTACTGTAGTCCCGAGATGATTCTTCAAAACGGGTGGACGTATGCGACGGATCTCTGGAGTGTTGGGTGTACGCTATTAGAGATGTATTTGGGACATCAAATTTTTAACGGAAAAAATGAAAGAGAACAACTCTTGAAAATGGAAATCGTTTTGGGAAAATTTCCACAGACTGTTGCCTCTGATTCCCACTACTTTTCAAGGGCGGGTTATGTCAATTGTCAAGGTTCAAATTATGACAAAAAGATTGACGAGTCGATTCATCCTTTACATGTTTGTGATTTTGAGATACTATTATCTTCTAATTGTTGTACTAATATTGTTTAGTATTTCAAAACTGACGAAAAGAGAATCATAGACCACGCACGCCACCCGCAGTTCCTCAACTTTTGTGCGGGGTTGCTCGACCTTGACCCCGAAAAGCGTTTGACTTGTGTTGAAGCACTCAACCACCCCTTTTTAAATTTTGTGGACTAACCTATATACTCCCGACTTTCCGCTCAAATTCGGGATTTGTCTATACAATGACTTATTCTTCCCACTTTTTTTCTAGTATATTTAATAATAAAAAACCCATCCACCGAAACTAGTAATAAAATAGTAAATGAATTAAAAACATTTAAAATTCCAGCAATTCAGATTTGTTCGGTGTTTCCAGTTCTTCTTTTATGGAGCATTTCCTTCATAGCGAAGAAGTCGAGGAAATTGATTGGTCTAACCAAGACGTTTTGGAAATCACAAGCGACTCCCTTAGCCCAAACTGGAACTTCGAAATTGATCAGACAAGGTGTTTTAACATGTTGTTCCTCTTCCAATTCGATTTCCATTGCGTTCCCCCCTCCCTCTTTTAACTTTTTAGTCGACTGACTGAGCTTCACTTTCTTCAATAAATCGGTCGATGGACAAATCCGAATTGGCCGAGTCAAATAGTCTTTCTTCAAGATGGTCCACGGCCGCGACACAAAAGGTTTAAAGATAGTACATGCGTGTTTAAGTAAGTCGAGGATCTTCTGATCTTCCCCCGCTAGTGTCGAGTTTTCTAAATTGCTCATCACGACGTAGACGATCGAGTAGATCTTCTTTTCCTCGAACATCGGGACCAACTCGTCCATCTTATTTTTTGTCAGGAAGGTATTCATATAGAACAAATTATGTGTGGGGAGGGCGGGGATCTTCTTCGATGTCTTCAACGCGGTCGTCACGGTCATCGCAATATTAAGGCGAAGTGTTTTGTACTTTGTTATCGCGACATCGAGCTTCTTGAACCACGTGTGCGTCAACTCGATGATCGAAAGTGCTTGCGATCGATTCAACGACACTGTCTCGTCCAATTTTGTGAACTTGTGTGTACATGTCATCACGCGTTGTTTATAGTTATCGTCGTCCTCTCGCAACTTTTGAATCACTTTATTTGATTTGAATGTGTTCTCTCCTTTAGAGAAGAGGAAAAGGGTATGGAAGTATATAACGTTCTGTGTTGGATTAAAAAGGTGGTCTAATTTCAAGTCAATTCCTAAAGGAACATCTTCTGTTGGGTATAACAAGATGATCCCTGAAGTCTCTGTTGATACCGTTGCTTTCTTTCGTTCACATAACACATTACAGTAATGAAGTGCTGGACCACACCCAAAAGTATGCCCTAATAATAACACACGATCATCTCTATACCCTTTAACTCTCATAGATTGTAAGACGGCATCTACTGTTGTCTCTAAAGATACACTTTTGTCATTTTTGTTCAGCCCATACCCCGGATAATCAAATGTTATACACCGAGCTCGAAAGATCTTTGTAAGCATATCCATCGAATTGTCGAGCTCTGAAAGATCTTTGCCGGCCGTGTGGAATAACAGCAATGAAAAGTTGAACGGATTCTCTTTGGATAAAACATACCTCACCGGAATGGGAGAGCCACCTTCAAACGGTACCATCACAAGTCCTTTTAAAGACTCGTCGTAATTACTTTTTGGGGGGGAATTTTTGAGAATGTAGTCGTACTGTGGATTCATCTGATGTTTTGATAGTTTCTTTCTATCGTTTTGAATTACCAACTTGAAATCATGTCATTTTATTCAAATCAATTTTTGTTATTCAAAATTGAAATATTTTCTATTATAAATGATAACAATTTTTTACTTGTTATCATTTATCACTTGATACTATATATTATAGTTTATATATTTTTTTAATTACTTTTTAATTTAAATATAGTTTTATTAATTCATTTTTTATTGGAGCAGAAATGAATGATTTGTGATTTTGTTTTAATACAAGTGTATTATTCTTACTAATAACAATACTATATATTATTGTATTAAGTAGTACATATTATATTTATATATATATTATAATACATTTATAGTATATACCAATTGATATAAAAAACTATTATAATTAATTAAATATATTTATTCAATTGAAAACATTTCTTATAAAAATGGTTATTTTTAATAATATAAATAACTATATGAATACGAAGAAGGTGAACAAAGAAATCATTACTTACTCAAGAAGAAGAAAAGCACACCAGCTCCCAATAACCAAGGCCAATACTTCCTAAAGAAACTCTTTTCCTCTTCCACTGGTGGTCTCTTTTCTAATTTAGTAGTTGGGAATGGTTTACCTGTAATTGTTTGTACTGTTATGGTGTTGCTTGTAGTGTTCTTATCAATTCCAATATTCTCGACATTGTCCAGTCCAAGTGAGATATACAAAACACCTCCAATGTTCTTGTCCTTACCACTCGATATGGGGAACGATGTAAATAATTCACCAACTTTGATGTAATAGAGTCCTTCCTCTTCGGTTTTCTTTTAATTAAGTAATGGTTACTTTTACTATTTTAAATAATCAATGTAAATATTAAAATTTTAACCATTAATATTAACAGTAAAAATATAATAAAATTACTATTTAGTATAGAAACAAACTAATTCCATAACCTGGCCGTCCAATTCACACGACTTATCGCAACGCAAAATTCCGAAATCTTCCCAGACTGTTGGGAAAGTATTAGAAATTTGTTGTTGTACAGGGAGTTCAAAAGAAAGTGTTAGTGTGAATAGGGTGAGCAAATAGATCATCTGCGAAATGAGTTCTTTCTAATTTTGTGTTTTATTAATTGTTTTATTATAAATGAATAGTTTTTTGTTTCAACTATACATTAATTATAATTATACTATAAATGTGCCAAATAGAGTTGTTCAAGGTGATAAAGAAAAAAGAACTTTATTTTCAAAACACCACAATTTCCACTGCATGTTTCTGAACGAAAGAATTTAAAAACTGAATTTTATGTCATGTTTAAAACATTGAATATGTGAAATATTGTCCACATCTATTATTCCAAGGAATTGTAATATAATAATAAAATATATATATAATATAATAAATATTTACTATAAAAAATATAGAAAAAAAGTACTATAAATGAACTAATAAAAAATGGTGAACTTTGATATTATCGCTTGTGATGGATGTGTCGAACACGATGTGCTTCTTCCTCATCTTTTTTCTGTATTTTGTGTGTGGGGCAGTTGTTTCTTTGCATGGGTTGACACGGTTTGTGACGGGGTATTCATTGTGGCCAATAGTCCATTCTCCCAACGTGATTGGTCTTTTAACACTCTTCACTGGTATTTATATGGCCCTTTCTTCCGTATCGACGTTGATTTCCCTTTCAAGAAAGACATACATTGCAGGCGTCATCTCTCTTGCACTGTTTGTCATTGTTGCCTTTCTTCTTTCCGTCATCATGGTGGTGAGTGGAATAGATTACACCGTTTTGAAAGTCGATAAGGTGGGGAGCGCAGAACTACAAATTATCGAAGAACAGTTCTCATGTTGCTCGTGGAAGGGACCGATTTCGAAGAATTGTATTTCTGAGGTCGGGAAAAAACTGAACCAAAATTGTTATACAGTGGTGGGTAAAAATGTTATTTCAATGTTCGGCACTGACACCTTTTTTGCAACAATCTTCTTGGCTTTCACTTTATTCCTCATTTTCGTGGCTTTTCAAAATCTCAAGAGCGAACAAAACAAACTCATGCACAGGAGAAAAAGAGATGAGTGACGTCTGTGTGTTCGTGTGTGTTGACGAACTGTAATTAATGGTTCTGGTATAGTTATTTTTAAATATTAAGAGTGTTATTGGTTTCATTCCGTCATTTTTTGAAAAAAGTTACACATCAAAAATAGACCAGAACAAATTACATAAACATTGAAGTGATGAAAAATTCGGTTTAAAAATCAAAACCACGAAAACTTTAGTCACGTTTGAACGATTGAAAAAAGGTTACATATTTTTGTGAGAAGAAAAGATTATAATTGTGGAATAAATGAATTGAAATAAGTTAAATTTGTGATGAATTCAGCGCTTTTGTTGTTTGGCCTTTCTGTTCTCTAGACTGTAGTTTGAATAACCATTTTTAAACATAGTTAAACAAAACGAAGTATTAGCTATACTTTATAATAAAAATAATTATAAAATGTAATTGCAAACCTCAAGATGCTCATTATTGAATAAAATTAATGAACAAAAAAACATAGATACTAATGAAATACTATACTTATAGTAATAAACACGATTCAAACAGATTTAGTGGAGTTGATAAAAACTAAAAAGGGGAAATCCACAGATGTTATTATTTCATTTTTAAATTATACAAACAAGTCTTTTTGCAAGCCAAAAAGTTCGAATAAAAAACTAAAACAAATTTTTTTTCTTTTCACTTTCCTTTTCATCCCAAAAAGTTTTCGATGTCTTTGTTACGTGATTATTGATATTTTTTAATAACTTGGAACTTTTCTTTATAGATATTATTAATATCTTTTAAAAACTCTTTCTTTCAAAATGTAATGATGGTAAATGCCTCTTCGTTTATTTCTGTGTAATTAAAGACTTTTACACTGTTTTCAGTCAAATTATCTTCTTTTTTAAAGACTTGTTAACTTCCACTTTTTGTTCTGCTTTTAGAAAATGAGAATCCATTTATTATTAATAAATAAACTATGTCATAAATCGATAGTGATTTAATAATACTTTCGAACGAGGATACCCAAAGAATTGCAGCCATGATTGATCCCCGTTGAAAAGAATCTATACAAATAGTAAATTTATTTAGAAATTAATAGTAAACCGATGATTTTGAAAAACCGAAAAAGAAAGTGAGAGGAACATATATAAGACGACTCTCAACTTAGAAATACAAAAGATTATGTCTCTAATGCAAATAGTAGAACCCACGCAGTATAAGCGTGAGGTCCACAGAAAGACGTCTGAATTTCAATGTTTGTATTCCTTCAAGGAGAATCGGAATTATCAGAGTCAACAAGAAGGTGTCTTCCTTTATCTTCTTTCACAGTTGTTCACTTTTGAGGTCCACACCCCAAATAAGAGGTGTATGGTGACTCTTCCATTTTTAAGACTTGACACCGTCACTTTCAGTAAGGAAGATGTTGTCTGGGTGTCCGACTTCGTTCAGAAGAGGATTTCTGAGAGAATCAAAATTGAGATGGAGAACGGAATATCAGAAAAGACAGCTTTGAGAAGGTGCGAGAATTATAAAATATCAGAAACTCTTCATTTCTTAATGGACGTCTTGTCAATGTACGGATACTTCTTTCAAACACGAACTACAACTGGCAAGAAGGGAATGACTAAGGTAGACGTCTGTTTCAGAGTGTTCAAAAATGGAAAAATACTCTATGATCAAAAGCAGATTGAAGATATCGGGGAGAAGGTTAATCAATTAATTGTTGAAATGAAGCCCGAGACCGGAAAAGTTGTGGTTGACAAAAACACGTTTAGTTCTGTTGTGAAGCAATGACTTCATTATGTTTGATTATTGATTGATTGTAAAGCCAATTGTTAATTAATTAATTAAAGTAATTATTAAATAATATAATTAAGTAATATAATTAAATAATAGTTAATTAATATAATTAAGTAATAGTTCAAGTTTTTTATTTACATGAAAGCTTAAAAGTTAACATAACTAATAATAATAAGATAATAATAAGATACCAATGAACGAAATCTTCATGTTCGCATCTAAAAGATTTTATTTACAGTATTTTCTATGTTTTTATTGTTTGGTTACGAAGTAAAGTATTGGATGAAGAAATCACGTGTTTTTGAAATCGGTTATTATATCAATTTAATGCACAAAATTAACACATTTTGTTATTTGTTCTTCAAGTTTAAATTAAAAAGACGATATTTTCTTGTATTATTAAAATCTATTTTTGAATTATTGTTATAGATATTTCTCATTGTTTTTTAAATGTTTTATATAACAAATAGACATGTTATAATTGTACATGAAGATTGTGATATAAATCCATTTGTATAATTTGAAAGACTATTTAAAAAATAATGACAATGTGTGATAACGGAAGTATTTAAAAGGGGATTGTCATTCAATGTTTAACTCAAAGTTTAAACATTTCCCTTCACTCGATCCAAAAGACTAAAAAATCTTCAACTTTATTAAATTAAATTAATAATTGTTTTTATTAAAAGTATTGTTAAATGATTTTTGACCATATAATTAATATCAAAAGGAATTATAATGAATTTTTGGGGGATTTTTTGTATTGAATTTATATAATTTGTATTTGAAATGCTTCACTTGTTTTTGAATATTAGAAATGACAAACTGTTTTAAAATAAAGGTTAATTCAAAACAGGATGAGAAATTGTGTGTTTTAATAGTAAGATAAACAATCAGTAATTTCTTGTAATTTAGTTTTAATGGCTAAGAAAGAATAAAATTTCCAATTGTTCTGAATGTTAATTACAAACAAGAATGAACTCTAAATTGAATTCGAAAAGAAAATAACACAATTTTGTTATAGGATACTTTTTAAACGTTGATGTTTCTCAATTAAAAAACTTCCTTTTGTATTAATATAAAAATACGGGTCTTCTTGTGTTTTGACCTTTCGCAAGAGCAACATTCTTTTTATGTTTCAACGAAAAAAAAATGAAGACGAAGTTGAAAATGATGTTTCTGGAATTGTTAAAAGATGGAGATTTGTTTTGGTCGAAAGTTTTCATTCGTTGGACAGTTATTTACGAATTTTTTAATAATAGACAATATTTTTAAGTGTATGAAATATTCAAAGTTAATAAAAAGAACAAGGTTCAATTCCAATTATACACAATCAACAATTATATATATCTTACATTTTAAAATGAATGTGGCTCAGAGCAAAAATATATAATCATAGTATATTGATAACAATATAACACAACCAAATTACAAGTAATTCAAAACAACATAAATTAGTTTTTAAACAAAAAATAAAAATTAAGTTTTATAAGTATATCTATACATTTAATAATCTCTATTTAATTTTTATTATTAAATAATTAAAACAATTATATGTAAGTTGAAACACTATAATAAACAGACAAAATTCTACAAATTTAACATTGTATAAGCAACATAATCTAATTTGACATAAATTAAAAGTTGAAAACCAATATCACATATTGAACATGCTATAGAAAAGACAATTTGATGAAATTCAAAGTGTTTTAACTGTAATAATTTGAAATAACTACTTTTTAAAAAAATATTTGAGTTTGTATATTTAAAGTGTTTTAAATGAATATATTTAAACCGATTAATAATAAGTACTTAAAGAAAGTAAAGTTATTAAATGGATACTAAACGTGTTTATTTAAATATTTTGATTATATGATAAGTGACATCTATGGTCGAATGAAACAAGCTTCGAAATCCAGAAGTGAGACAGCCATTTAAAATTGACATTTGTTTTATAATAATTGGTTCTTGTACTTCATAACTATAAGAATAATTTAAATGAATACTAATTTATACAAATTACTATTGATTATTGTTTCAAACAATCGGGTTGGTTAATAGAAGAAATAAATGCCGAATTGTACTATTCAAACGATATAAACTTCTTTATTTCCTCATATCCGAGCTTTTATATAAATAATTGAAATTTCTCGGTGTTTTTGTTTGAATAACTTTGTACTAATTTTCAAAATTGGTTAGACAACCCATAAATAACCAAAATGTAATTGAATGTTTATATTTAAAACTTCTTCAAATCCAGACTATTGATAAATATATAGTTCCTTCAACTAATATCTTTATTACATAAATTCTGTTTCTTTTTATTTGAATTATTAATATTAGTTTTATTTAATATTAAAAACTATTAAGACTATAACCGTTAGCCTGATATTAAACTGGCCAATAGCGAATCAATGTTTGATTCAAACCACAAATTTGTTAACACTTCCCACAATTTACCGTTCAAAACCCGAAAAAAGAATGACTTGTCAATTCAGCTTCAATGAATAGACCAAAAAATGGTTTGGTTGTGAGAAACGAACTCAAAAAAAGAGAAAATTGGTTTCTTAGGATCGATTTTTTGTTTAATAAAAAAATAAATAATATGTTTGATTTTTGAGTGTTGCTATTCAACCCAACAACAATAATAACACCAATTACTTGGGAACAATTAAAAAAAATAAAAAACAGTTAAAAAACGGCATTTTGAAAGATTCAGTAAACTCTTCGAAATGTATTAAAATGGAAATCTTTAAAGAACTATTTA